ATTGATACCATAGGCATTTTTTAGGACAAAGAGGTGAATGAAAGATGAACTTTACTCCCAAAATTCTCTGGTTTATGATATTTGTTAACGTTTGATTGTAAATTTCTGTCTTGAACCACATGGTGCAATGATAATTGGTAGAGTGGTAAAGCTGTTTTAGAGCATAATCTTTCTAGTACAAAAGTTATTTAATTCTTCAAACATTGATACAAGGTCAAAGGTTTGCTTATGGTTTTTCCTGATTCCACTATGCATGAAAAACATATTAGTTTAATAATCCATCACTGTGTTGGTTTTAGATTATAGTTTTCTTCATAAATATTTGATACAGTTTTACTCTCTTGACGTTTGCTTTGTACTCTTGCAGCAAGTTGCAAGTGTTGGAGTTTTAGATTATAGTTTTCTTCATAAATATTTGATACAGTTTTACTCTCTTGACGTTTGCTTTGTACTCTTGCAGCAAGTTGCAAGTGTTGGAGGAGATCTTAACTATTGATATAAAACCAGGTTGGAAAAAGGGCACAAAATTAACCTTCTCCGAGAAGGGCAACGAAGAACCTGGTATAATTCCTGCAGATATTATTTTTGTGGTAGATGAAAAGCCTCATCCTGTTTATACAAGGGATGGTAACAATTTGGTGGTGAAGCAGGAGGTATCGCTTCTTGAATCTCTTGCTGGAAAAACTTTTGAACTGGTGACACTAGATGCAAGGAATATCACGATCCCCGTATTAGAGATCATCAAACCTGGACATGAGGTAGTTGTCCCTAATGAAGGAATGCCGATTTCCAAAGATCCTAGGAAGAAGGGTAATCTGAGGATCCAAATTGGTGTCCGGTACCCTACACGGTTCACTGAAATGCAGAAACATGAACTGAGGAGAATTTTGGGAGTTATCTCGTAATGACGTCTCGCAAGTTTTAGGCATGGCAATATTAGCAAAGGTAGATAATGCAGGTTTTGGGTGTAAATATGGTACACGCTAGCTGCCATCAAAGTATGTGAATAGTAGAAATTGTTCTTTAGTACAGATGGTTGGTTTTTGAGTTTGTGGCAAATGTCAAATGCCTCTTGCTGAAGAAAGTGGTTCTATACAATGTTTGTGGGATATCATACCCCTACTTACTGATATAGATCTTCTGCTGCCGCAGATTTTTATCAACTATCAGTTTTCAAGATATTTGGGAACTATATTCGATTGGTTTTACCTAGAGATCGACGAGTTAAATTACATTTTGATGCTGATTTGTGATTTAGATGGTATTTTGCAGCAAGATTACACTTTTTTTTCTCTTGGATATTCGTCAGTCGCATGTAAAAATTCCCAGATGGAGCTTTTTTTAGGACATTCTGGACTTGGTGGCAATGAACTTGTCAAAATGGGTTGAAATATGGCAGGTATAAAGGTGGGTTGGATCACCTAAGCTCGAGTTGTGGTTTTAGCCTGATCTGGCTTGTTTTAAAACGTTTTATACATATCCTCGTAACCGACTTTTAGGGACTTGACTTTACCTATATAATGAGTTTGGGTGGGAGAGGAGAATTCATATTCATTTCTTTGAGGACCTTGCAGAAGTTAAAAATGAAAACAAATTTGCAGTAGCCTGTAATTTTCTCATTTTCTTCCGATTCTTGTAGTCCATTCATTTGCATGTCCTTCAAATTCTAGTTATAAACCCATTTCTTTCATGCAAATCAGGTAGCACTGAAAGAATTGCCTATTTTCATGGCCTTTTTGTAGTTCTTTAGTGTCAATGATCCATGAAGTACTCAATTCTAGTACCAGTGTATCTAATTGGGCCTGGATTGAGGAACGGGAAAAAATTAGGCCCAATACCCTAAAATATTTACTAAATTGATTAATACCCTAATAACTAATTAAATAATTTAAAAACATAATTAATACCTTATAAAACCTCCAAACCCCCTCCCCAAACCCCGCCAATATATCTTTCACAAGATTGCCACCGCACAGAATTAGGAGGCACAACATTATAATCAAATTCTGCACACTATCTCGTTTCTCTCTATTAATGGCAATAAAGTTGAAGATATTGAAGAGAAAGAATGGTACGTAATCGTCTTGATTTCTAGGATAAAACAGTGTCAGGCATTTCGTCTTCAACATTTGAACACGATCGTGCCTTACAACACCACCAAAGAAGTGCTATTCGACCTCTTTCATTTTCTCAAATTCTGGATGGTACCATCTAAAGGTTCGTGGACACACCTAATGTCCTGCCGTCGTCGGAAGACCAAACACTGGCATTTGATGCCATTTCAACATCCATTCCGGGCTTGCCCCTCTTTAATCCATATGGTTTAGTCTTAGTTTCATTTTTTTCCCCCAAAATTTTTGATAATTTCAAATTTGAAGTTTAATTTTTTTTTTTTTTTTTTCATTTGCAATCAGAATTCTTGTCCAGTTTGCATATATGAGTTACCGACCGATAGCAATAACTATGGTAATAGCAATAGGGACCCAAGTGAAGTGCATAGAGGAGTAAACGAGGTAACAAACGATGATGAGATTGTTGGATTGACTCTATGGAGATTGCCTTGTGGTGGGTTTGCTTTGGGCCGACTTTCGGGAGGGAGGAGGGATGTGGAGAAGCAGTTGACAGTGTTATATACTGAGATGGATGTGGGCATAATAATAATGGTGTTCCAAGAATTTGTTCACTCTATTTATTATAGAATTGTTGTATATTGGATACGAGTTATAAATATAGATCATCATTAATTCTTCGATTAGATTATCCATGTAATGTTTCGTTGGATAATCAATTTCTTCAAATTACTAATTGGATGAAATACTTTATTGTGATGAAATCATAGTGCAGCACGGTTCCATTTATTCATCAAAAGAGGCTTCCCTTTTGAAGCCATAATTTATTTTCCTTAATACCTAACATAATGCACAAAAGAATCCTTCAACAAGTATAAATTGGTCTGAAAATCATTAACAGGAGACTTCAAAAGAAATTCCCCATGTCTCAAAACCATGGCCAAAATGATATTACTGTCACAAATTCCTTCACACTAACCCTCTAGAATACTAATTTCAGTCTCTGCCATCTCGAGCTCCTCAGACAAGCTTCATGTTCTGTTTTTTTTTTTTTTTGGTCTCATTTGGTCCGTCTGTATATCATATTCGCCATATCCTTGTTGACTTCAGTAAATAGGAACACAGAGCAGTTATTCTTTTTGTGTTTGCTTTACCAACAATATATGCATACCAAATGTTTGATAAAATTCCGCAATATGAATATGCGCTGCGAAAAGTTTGGTTCAATGTGCTTCGATTCTTGTACAGATTGGACGTAGTACTGTTATTTCATTTCCTCAATCATGTTGCATATGATTTATCTTTTCCAACTATCCCACCATCAATACGATTTTATGAGTACTAGTCTCTTATTCTTGTCGCCTATCTCACAGCTCATCACCAGGTTGTTAGCCTTGTTGCAAACCA